TCCCCTCATTTGAGCTGGAAGCAAAATGTTCAAATCTGAAATTGATGTGTTTTGTTTTTTTTACATACCACCAAAGAAGTATGTTTTATTATATTACTTCTAATTCATCAATCTCAATCTCTCAAATCTAAGGGTTTAGGTCATGTTTAATGGCACACCCTGACTGTCAGTTTCATGTGGAAAAAACATTCAGAAATATTTGGGGCCTTTGGGTTTGTTTGTGTTTTTACTTTGGACAAAAAGCGAGAGATAAAGATGAAATAAATCAACTGAAAGTTTGAGTATTTTACAGCACATTCAGCTTCTTCTTCAGCTGTCCTGCAGCATGACCCTGCTGAGAGTCTCAGGACCGACTCCCATGAAGTCTTTATGACAACTCAATCTGCGGATGAAGGCTGTGGAGGAGCAGAAAATACTTTTCTGTGTATTCACTGCATACAGCCATTTCAGAATAGGGACCATCTGATCTGGTTTATACACTTTGTCATTCACATATGGCAGAAACTAGTGTACAGTGAGAACCAAACAGGCTTTACTTGAAGCTAAACGTTGCTCGTGTAATGTATTCACCCACCCAATTGTATGTGTGACATCCTGGCCTGGAGGAGTATTAAAAACCATTTGTCATCACTTTGGGGTGATTGCACATTAAATATTTCAGCACATTAGCCTTTATCATGCTGAGAAGTGAGCGAAATCATTAGGCCGACACATAATCCACTAAGAAAACATTTCAAATTTTATCTCTAACCGGCAGGCTTAAAACACCTAGAAATTCTATCACTGGCTATGTTTTATTTCAAGGTCATATATTTTTTAAAAACTTCCTTTGAGCCCCTTTTTCAAAATGTGAGATAACTTCATTTATTTGCTTCACTATCCATTTTTCAGAAAAACTGGACAGACCTGTCCAGACTTAACTAAGTGAGCTTTCCCTAACTAGGTATTAACTCAACCCATAATGTGTTTTTTAACATATGCTGAGGTCTGCTAATCTTCTTATAGGTTTGAGTTTTTTTTTTTCCCCTCCATCTCTGAATAGCTTAACAGAATATGCCTCGGTAATGGATGGTTATATCCTCATCCATCGCCCTCCTCCCACCAAGTATAACTTGAAATAGGCCATCAAGTGGCTAATGAACTGATAAGCCCTCTGTGTCCTATGGGGCTTAAGAACATCATAAGCCAAATGTTTGGACATATTTGGTGAGACAGTTTTTTTTTTTTTTTTAAGAGCATTTATGTGAGCAAAGGACCCTGTTGCTGAAGCGGCCACTGTGTGAAAACGTCTCCTCATATTCCTGTTTTACAGGGAGTAGAGTAGTGAATAGCTGCCGGCTGTGAGTGAAAGAATATAGTACCCCGAGTTTTTTTCCCCCATATCTGGTAAGTTCTGCGACTGTGTGGCCCTGTGCTTCATCAGACCTCCTGCTAGTCGAACTGCTAGTATCATTATCAGTTTTGGATCTCTGTAAATCCGTGGATTTGTGTGAGCAGTCTGAGAAATTAGAATAACATGCTTTTTACTCCGCTTACTTCAAATCTCTTTAGACTTCATTTTTTTTTAAAACATCTAAATCTGTTATTATGTAGGCTACACAAAACCCTTTTAATTTAATCTTTGACAAGATTATCAAATTCATTGATGATGTCACAAACTTAAATAATTTCAGAAAATGTCGACTAAGCCTGGATAAGCACTTTCAAGGGGATACTGCTGGATTAGCTTAAAATGTTATTTATTTTGGTAGTTTTTTTTGTTGTGTTTTGTTTTTGTCACATTTTGCACATCAATCTGTTTTATTCTCATGTTTTTCTAAATGTTTAGACACAAAATTGCATTAATTAGAAGCATGCAGCCCATCTGGGAAGTTTTAAATCAGAAAGAAATATATATAATTTGGGTGTAATTGAGTGAGGTTTGCTGCTTAGACCCTGAAATTAATTTTAAAATCCAAACTGTCCAAAGTCCCTTTTCCTTTCTCTCCTCTCATAAACAGTAAACTGGATGTTTTTGCTTCTTATCTCCAGCCCCTTCCACGGGACTTGACTGAAAACAAACCTGGTGGTTTGGCTGTTTTTTATTTTATTTTATCCTCAGAGTAATCAGGGAATCAGCTTCTCACATTCAGACGCTTTAATGTAAGAAGCAGGTGAGACTTTTACGCAGATAACTTACTCCTCGTCAAATCTGGCAGCAGGTCGGTGCGCAGTCTCCGGGCCCCGGACCTCCGCAGGCCGATGCTCTGCAGAGGATCCATCCTGGCCGTTTCCCATGCGGACAGCAGTCGGGCCGGGGGGACGAGGGGCGCTGCGCGGCCCCTGTTAGACAAAAACCAGGACGGATTAATGCAGCGTCTGTTGGCCCCATATGCTCCCCGGCACTTCGGCCTTGATTAAAACTCGCTGTATGGATGAAGTGCGGCGGAGGCCTGGCGCCTAATCCCTCTCATGACTCGTGCACTCCGCAGACACGAGACTCTAACAAGAGGGATGAAGCTGATTTGGCCAATATTAGCCCAGTATCGATCAGGACGTCGTTCGAGGCATCCATTTAATCTGAAAAGCATCTTCTCTGGTCCTGTGTCAGTGGTCCCATTTCCCTTCCATCGACGTTTTGCTGGCATGTCTGATATAACGCTACACATTCAGAGGGACGCCTTTAATGTGCTTAACTTTTTATTTTCTGATTGTTTTATTCGCATAAGTTGCATCCTTATTAATGAAGAGAATAAACGCGGACATGATGCTTATATCGTCTGTTGGAGAGCAGGTTCCTCCTCAGATGACATTTGAAAGTGACCCTTCAGTCTGACACTGTTTTTTTTTTCTCTCTTTCTTTCGGGACTCTGTGTGAAGGAGTTGGTGACACTGCAGAGATGAATCTCATGAATATTCAGGCTCCCTAAGCCGGGGCCATTGTCTCCAGATTCAATAGTTTCATTGTTTAGTGGCCATCACGCTGCACTTATCTGGGCCTTGTTAAACCTGCTTTTTGCTGCACTTCTGTGACTGACTGCAGCCTCTAATAACCCGAAAACCGGCGCGTTAAACAAAAACCAGTCTAAGCTTTCAAATAACCTTCCGCTTCAACTTCACTCTTGAATAGATTATCAGGGTTGGGTTGTTATGAAGTCTTTTTTTTTTCTTTTTTTTTTAAACCATCATCCACGCAAACAAATATGCATGCATTTTTTTTTCCTGACCACGCAGGAGTGGAATCAAAGTCTGTCTTCTCTTTAAGGCTTCGATTATTTCAAGCAACGCTTTTAATTAGTGTGCTCCTTTAGCGGAGACTCCAATGAAAGAGAGATTATTGGCAATGTCAAGGATGCTAATTGAATGTTGGACTTCTAACAATGAGCCCGCTGCAGAGCCATGTCGACTCGCCACAGATCCCACACCCGCTCTGACTCCACTGCGCGGAGTTGACGAGAGCAACAAAATACAAACGAGCCCAGTTTGCTTCACGACTCCTACAATGTGGTCTGAGAAGGCACAGTCTTCCCTGGGAACGCCACAAGAGCAGCGTCCCACTTTAATGAAGACAACTGAATCATTTTGGGGGGTGCGTGGGGAGGGGGGAGTAGTTACGCATGGACATTTACGCTTGATTTCCCACGTGATATTTCAAGACTATAATGGGTATTTTCTTTATTTTATTTGTATTTGTTGTGTTTTTTGTTATAAGGTTTGGGATTTTACCCCATGGACACGGTCTCCTTTGTCTGGGTTGTCTGTGGACTGCTCAGACTTATATTTCCATAACAATTTCCCTACATTAGAAATGACAGCATAGCAGAAAGAGAACTGTCTTTTAAGTCTCTTTCATTTCCACTCCCATCTTTGCTGCAGTGTCTCCTCTTTTAGCCGTGACAAAGGCACGTCAAATCACCTTTTTAACCCGCGCGCGCACTTCCTCGTGTGTTGTAATATTAGGCTCCATGTCAGGGCGCTCGTTTAGGGATCAGATACGTAAAAAAAAACCGTGGCTTGCGGCTTTGAATGGGGCCACCGCTGCCCTGCGCCCCTGAGAATCCCCCGGCGGGTGAAATATTGGGATTAACATCTTTAGGAGTCCAGGATTAATCCCTACTTTCTCAGACCAAACTCCTAATTACGCAAGACGACTCGTTCCACCGGAAACGTATTAAGGAAAACAACATTCAGCGTTGAATGGATGTTTTCGTTGAAAAAGAGAGAGATGATTTGGTTTATAATTGGTATCAAGTCCAGAGGGCTGTTAAATTGTAATCACAAGACAGCAAATGGCAGCTATTTGACTGAAAACACGTTGTGCTCAGATGATATGTGGCTGGAATGAGCCGTTATTACTTGAGAAAACAGTGTTGGGTCGCGACTGAGGAGTGTAATCATTGCTCATTTGGACGGCCATTATTGGCCTAATTAATTCAAAACGGTGGACTTCCCAATCCAAACAAGTTCAACAAAAGCCACCTGGCATTTCTTCCACCTAAATCAAGAATATTCCCGGAACCTAAAATGAACTCTCATTTAGAAAATCTCGTTTAACTCTAAATGTATCAATACATTTTTATTTAATTTATAAATAAAAAAAACGTCCAAAGTTAGTTTTGTGCACGTCTCCGAATTAGTTGGCTTCCCCCCTCTCAAACACACACGCACGCACAGATCGTTATTTCCACGAAAGAGTAAGCTCACAGGACCTTTATTCATGTCTTTTCAGCGGTGAGGTCACACCATCTTTGGGGAGCCAGTGAAGGACCCACAATCACCGAGACCAGCGCAGGGGGAGCACGAGAGTCTTTCCCAGTATGGCTAACCCTTCATCATCACCACCACCATGTGCTTTCAAAGTGTCACCCTCTCTTTGCGCGATGGGTCATTTTTAACCATTAGCATCTTTCGTTGTCAAAAAAAGTACTTAGAAATCTATTAAAATCACAGCAGAGAGTCTGGTGCGAGGGGGCTCACAAATTGCATACAATACAACAGATCACAGTTTCGAAGGCTAGCACAGATAAAAAAAGAAAAAAAAAAGAAAAAGAAAAAACACATATGTACCATTTATATAAGACGCACACTGATTGTCTCTTGGAAACTACATATCGATTCCTTATAAACACTTTTTTTTTCTTAAATAAAGTAGTGCATCCATGTCCACACACCACCCTCGTGTCTCTCTGCCAGCAGTCCGGCAAAAGCTTTGAAAGAAGATTTAAGGAGGTTTTTCCATTCCGAGCACTTCAGCTAAATTAACTCGAGTTTTTTTTTTTTTGGTTTTTTTTTTGTGGGTTTTTTAGTTCCGTGGCTGAGAAGTACTTTTCTTTCCGGCTTTGCTCTGTCTTGTCCTCAACAGGTGTGTTTTGCGCACAGAGACACACACTGACCGGCATGGATGAAGGGCTACAACTTGGTAATGAACTGAGGAAGCCAGAGCTAAAATAAATTAAACCTTTTCCTCTAGGAGGACCGAAGACCGTCATGCCAAAAACAAAAAAACAAAAAAACTCAAGGCCCCGCGAGAGCCCTTCCTGGGCCCACTTTCTACCAGTCAGATTGTGTGTTTTATTGAGGAATGGCAGCGCTTGGTTTCGTGTGGTCGTCACTGTTCGTGCACTTTTTTTTTTTCTACAGCTGATCGCTCTGTTCACAGGACCTGGAATTTCCACGAGGATGTTTGATCCTTATAATCCAAGCAATCGGCATTGAAGTTCAGCTTCCAGGAGGCAGCCTGGTCCTTATAATCCAAGCAGTCTGCTGTGGAGTTGAAGCCCAGGCCGGACGTCCCGTAGCCCTGGGTGGACAGGGACGCCGGGGACTGGTTCAGATGGCTTGTGACCGCGTTCGTGCTCATCGGACTGAGGGTCGACCCGGGGCCGGACAGCTGGTGGTGCATGGGAGTGAGGTAAGAGCCGCAGTCCATGCCCCCGAAGTAGGACGTCGACCCGGCGTAGCCCTGGCTGTAGCCCGAGGCCTGAGTGTAGGTCATGGGGTAGGACCTCTGCATGCAGGAGGAGGAGGTAGACAGCGGGTCAGAGAGGGGAGAGATGGACGCCGGACTCCAGATGGACACCGGGGCGGTGCTGGTGGAGATGGCCGGGACGGTGGTGGTGCTGGTGGGGGGGGTGAACTGGCCGCTGGCTCCGCTCTCCGAGCTCACCTCTCTGGTTGGAGAGCTTTTCTTTTTGGGGGGTCGCACCTTATTCTGCCCCCCGTTCTGCTGCTGCTGCTGCTGCTGGCGACACTTTGCCCGCCTGTTCTTAAACCACACCTGGGAAAAGAAAATCATAGTCACGCTCCATTATAGAAATTGTGCGCAAACAAACATTTCACTTACAATTTCAAGGCTAAAATATTTAAAATTGTTAAGTTTTTATACACTGTAATAGGTATTTCTCTTACAAAAGGATCTGTGATTATTCCTTAGTTTTAATCGAAGATGTTTCCAGACTTTCTATCAAAACACATTCGAATTAAAGCATTTTTCTTTTATGCAATAGTTGCAGCACTTTATTTAAGTCTTCTATGTTATAAAATATGTCTAATTATAAATTAGCCTTCTTACTAATAAACACCTTTTCTAATCCAACAAATTGTTTATGACTTTACCCCATAATTTAAATTCTATTTGCTCATAAAAAATTCTGACAAAGCCCAGACATTGTTTGCAATTATCCAACACCTTCACTGTTATATTATCTACAGGAGAAGCTATGAAACTCACCTGTACTCTGGATTCAGGTAGGTTGATTTTCAGCGCTACCTCCTCGCGCATGAATATGTCCGGGTACCGAGTTTTAGCGAACAACGCCTCCAAAACGTCCAGCTGTGCGCGCGTAAAAGTAGTCCTTTCTCGCCTCTGTTTCCGTGGTGTGGCTGCAAGTGAAGGAGAAATGTAAGTGAAATGGAAAACCTTACGTAAGCACGTAAATGTTAAGAATAACGTGTAACTATATTTTTTCTTTCTTTTTTTCTTTTGTTGTGGCTTGCGTAATTACGCACGGGTACTTTAAGACTTTATCGCATCAAAAAAATAAACACAACTCAGTTTAAAACCAGGAAAAGATTGAGAATTAAAAATTATATAATAAGACCACAATCAGTACATGTTTAACTAAAAGCAACGAGTTCGTTCTTTAAACAGATGAATGCCACATATGAATATGAAACACAACATTTTACATTATTGTGCGTAAAAAATGAGGATGAAAGCGTGTAATTATAGAATTATGTCGTCCAGAAGAGTTAATTTATAAATTAAAATCTATTTTTTTTAGATTTAGAGGGGACAACTATAGTGCTGGATGCTTTCTTTGACATCATAAAATAGGCTAACACCAAACTCATTTTCTTTCTTTCTCTTGACCAACAAACGGTTAAAAACCCACCTGGATAGCCAACAGATGGATGTAAAAGGTCCATCCCGGACGTGGTTAAGCTCAGGCCATTGACTGTGTAAGGTGGTTGCTTTAGATACGACATCATGCTAATGTTTGTTTGAGGGCCGAAGTTGGAGAAAATTTTGAAAACTGTTGGAGCTCCCGAGGTGCTCTTGGTGTCCTCCGTTAGATGAGTGGCCCTTGTTGTGCAGGTGCCTGTTCGGAAAGAAGCAGAAGAAGCTGGTGAGGATGTGCCCTCTCCTGGAGTCAGTTTTGCTCAGTTTGCCGGCGTCGCCGCGAAATGAGTGCACTCCGAAGACACATGTCGCCTGTCACACAGCAGCTGTCCTCCCCACTTCTCCCATGAAGCGGATAAAACCGTCCACCGACGTTGTAACGTCGACAAGTCACGTGAAAATTTTTATCAAAGTCTCGAGTCTTTGTGTACAGGAAAAAGAAAAAATATTTAGGACAAAACTAAACCATAAGAAAAAATACATTTTTTACTTTTTGCTTTCTGTGTTTCTGTATTTCCCTTTTTTCTTGGTAAAATTTGAATTATTGTTTCAGTATAACAAGAGAAATAACGATATTTGGGAAACCAATAGAAAAATACATACATTTAATAAATAAAATGAGAAAAATAAATATTTTCAGATTTATTTAGATTAAACAAATCCTAAATGTACATGTCCATTTACATTTTTCCGAGATTGAAATCATTTTTAAAACTCAAATGAGTGAATAACTTTTCATTTAAAATGAAAAACGGGGATTTTTTTTGGCCTATTTTTCCTTCTAAAAAAATGAGCAGGTGCTCCTCGCTGTACAGTCTGTGGCAGATCAGTGATGAAACAGTAAAAAAAGTGCTGGGATGGTGTCTGGTAAACGCGATTGCTGTCTCTGTAACGGCAGTGACCGTCACTACCCGTTATTCCCACTGTGCTTCTTGATTAGTTGCATTTTCCCCCCTTAATATCCAACGGTTTTAACCCCCTTATCCCAATCTGTCACACTTAAAACACACCCGTCAACCAGTTGCTCATGCGCACCCGCTCAATAATAATGACCCTGTGTCCAGCGATTAATTATGATAAATGTTTAGCTGCTGATGAATTAACGAGGTAATTCATGTGGCAACTAACTGGAGCTGCAGTCTGGGGCCGGGGCACCTCGGGCTGCTCCAGCTTCCCTAAAAACAAAGCTGAGATTTAAACTCAGCCTTCTCTTTACGTGCGCACAAAATCGCTACTAATATTCTTATATCGTTAGTCTGATGTAGTTTGGAAGATATTATTTTGATTACATTTGGAAATGTTACATAAGTACATGTATCCTCCAGGGTCATATGGTTAAATACGTTCTGCCTCAAGAGTCTCCAAACGCGGATGAAATATATTAAATATGGCATGTTGGTTTATTGTCTGCTGAATTATTGATATAGCAGGCAAAGGAGCGCTTTACCAGGAGGCCCTGGAGAATTTTTCTACAGCAGGCCGAGATATTTCCCTCTTTTTTTCAGGCCAAATGCCTCCAACATGTCATCCTCTGCTGCATTATTTCCCTTTACTTTATAAAGACAAACAATGTGCCATGTCACGATTCTGTGGCTCGAAAACGTGATTCTGTGAATATGATTCGACTCCTGTGTCACCGAGAGGGTGAAATTGGTAAAATATGACCTCCAGGAATCGCATAACGTCTGAAAGTAATTAAAACATCAGAGGAGCTAAAGCTTTGCCGTGAGAGGGTCGTTGTGCCCGTTAGATGAAAGCTAAATGCAATTTAATATTTTTGATAGACAATTATTATGAAGGAAAATTTGAAATTCAACCAGAAGCTTCGTTAAGATTTAAGTTGCTCTGAGCAGGAAATGTTCCCTTGGCCCGAGCAAATAGAAGAGAAGAAGAAATAAATGGCTAATAGACTTCACCTTCATTTACAGTTCATTAGCAAATAATTATGATTTAATTCTTAATGGGGTTTCTTTTAATGTCTCTGGTTTATTTTTGGTGTCAGTGACTAAGCTGAGACACTTTGTGTCCACCTCCAAAGTAAATTTGAGTTTATGCCTATTGAAATGACATCCAAATTTACCTCTTCGTCAGTATACACTTAAAAAAAATCGATTATCCCCAATAATAATAATAATAACGAAGATAATTAGGAATAATTAAATTGCTACACTTACCCTGGTAATGCGGTGCTGAAAGTTCTTTGTCTACTTTTCAGGTGAAAAGAGGAAGTTAGAATAAATCAAAGATGTCCTGTTTGTTTTTTTAAAAAAAAAGCAGAAACGTCTCAGAACCAGGCAGCAGCAGGATCAGGTGCAGCCTTGTTCAGGGGCAGAAAAACGCAGTAGAAAGAAAAAAGTTGCGGGTTGAGCTCCTGCGTGAGGCTGTGAGGCTGTGAGGACGCCTTTGGGGTTTGTTGGTGTGTTGAGAGTGAAGTGCTTTGAGTTAGATTTTGTACAAACTGCCAGCCAATGGGAGCCGCGGGACTGAGCTGAGATCGGTCTCCGTCTCCTTCTCTCACACTGGTGGGGAGGGTTTCTTTCTTTCTCTTTTTTTTTTTTCTGGGGAACAAATGTCTCCAGCTACTTTTTTTTTTTTTGACGCACACTCCTCAGCCAATAGCAGCGAGAGGGCGAGTGACAACATCCCCATCCCACAGTGGAGAGGGTGCACTAATGATAAATAAACGGCATTCTGGTGGATGATAAGAAGCGGAGTTTAAAGCCAGGAAATGTCCGTTTATTTAGGTTTCTATTGCGTTTTATTTTAGGCACTGCTTTAATTCCGGTCGAAATTAAAGGACGAGTCTAAATACATCACCAAAATAAAGAGGTTAAAAAACACACAGACATAAAGGGGGGCACAATTAGTAGCAAAATAAGCATGTAACCCACATTTGGTTTTTTATTTGCATACATTTTATCAAATAGAATCAGATTGAAAAAAAAAAAATCTCGACAATACAAAATGACTATCCCACTCTGCTTTGGCCACTTTGAAGTACAATCTTAAACAAAAGTAGGAATAATCTGTCAAGGAAAAAAAACAAAAAAAAAACAGCGGGTTTAAAACAGGAATCTCCACCGTCCTCTCACATTCCAGCGCGTTGCAAGAAAAAAAAGAAGAAGAGGGATTTACAGCGACTTATTTCCTTTAAAGTGTCCTCCCATCCACCGGGCCATCCAGAGTGTCAGACACTGTCAGCGCGCGCGGGCCTGCGCCCAAACGTGCCCGCGACATTTACAGGTGGCTTCTCATCGGGAAGACACCGAGCAGCCGTGGACGCGCACAGGCTGCACCTGCTCCGCACATCCGGCCAGAGATGGAGAAAAAACAAACCAAAACAAACGGAAAGACTTTCAGTCGTGCTCCTTAGCTCGGTTCCTGCAAAAACGAGGAAAATCAAACACTTTCTCAAATGAAGGTAGGCCCCTTTTTTATTCCAGAATAAAAAAGTGTATATTTTTGTTAGTCTTTTCTGGTTTTATGTGCAAAAAAACCCAAAGCATATGTAATAATAATAATAATAATAATAATAATAATAATAATAATAATAATAATAATAATAATAATAATAATAATGATAATAATAATGATATTATTAATAACGATGATGATAATAATATCTAAAGTGACTTTTTTCTCATAATGGCTAGCTGGATGGTGATTTTTTTGGGGGGACCAACAAGCAGAGAGGGACAAATAAGGCTCGTCTACGTCACTTGAATTTTGAACCTGCGTGCCCATCTCAAAATAATATGCCGAGGGTTTTTGTCACGGCTTGGTAAATGTATCATCTTAAGAGGCTTTGTGGAACACCTACACACACGCACTCTCTCTCTCTCTCTCTTTCTCCACGCACACACACACTCTCACACACACACACACACACAGACACAGAGCGTCTCACACCGCAGCACGGACACACCCGCTCACTTCAAACAGATTTGAATATTGATTTAGATTTATAAACACAGGCAGACGGTGGGTTTTTACAAACCGTCCCTTCCCCTCGCTCCGCGGCTCGTGAGGGGCTGCCGGGAGGAGCGCGCGGTCCCGCCGCGTGGAGCTCCCACAGCTCACGCGCACTCTGTGTCAGCTCTGTAACGCCAGTGACATCTCTCTTGACAGATTTCGATAAGGGGAACCGGCGGATTGGATCATAAACTCGGATCTGGGAGAGCTGCTGTCAGCGCAGAAAAAAGTTTTTCTGGGAAGTCCCAAGTGGAAGGAGAGCTGATGCACAGCCCAGGTATCCTTATTTGTTTATTTCTTTGTTCGACATTTCTCATTTCTGTTCTCTATACACGTAGAATAACCCACCTTTCACTAAAGTATTATCTCTAATTTGTTCTTAGTCGAAACAGTGTCAAGTATCATTTAAAGAGGAACTTCAAACGGGTGTGAGTTTTTTATTCTAAGAGGTCCCAAATATTTTTTAAAATATTATATTTGCATCACAGACTCCTTAAAAAAATCACAGAAGTTCTATGAGTCCTGCTATTTTGTATTATTTCACAAGCTCTCTTTAAAAGCTAAAAACAAATATATTCCACTGACGCCTTTTTTTCAATATTCGGCAAGAAAAATGATTCTTTCCAGATTTTCTCATGGCTTATTTAGCTGCTGCATGATAATAAATCCTAATGCGAGACGTTCAAACTGCAGCGTGGAGAATTGTGACGTCTGATGCTGTTATCTGCCGCAATCTCACCGTTTAAATTGCTAAATAATTTATTAAAGTGTAAAGCCAGGCCCTCCGCGGGGACTTTGTATCTTAAAAGGACGTTTAAAGGGAGAAGGAGTTAAACGCCTCTGGCGGGCTGCGCTCCCACTGACTCCCGGCTAATTGACGACGACGACGGCTTTTATCTGCGCCTCTGCTCCACTCAACCTGAGGGTGAGGATTTCAGCAGGCCTGCTCCAACCTGTGATTTCCACCGGCTAATGCGTGGCCGTGCATCTTTTCAAACGCGCTGCACAGGCTTGGATGTTTGACCCCTGTTTGATAGTCTTGAAAGGGGGAAAAGAAAAAAAAAATCGCATTTTAAGATTGGATGATTACAGGCATACTTCCCCCCCTTTCCTTCTCTCCCGGCTCTGTACCTTTATCCAGGCGTGAAAAGAAGTAATGGACATATTATGGAATGATTAGAATTATTAGGGTACATGTATGGATTTCAAAAATGAAGATAAAGGAAACGTTGAAGGAGTAAAAAAAAAAAGAAAAAAAGCACTAGCTGCCACAAATGTAATAGAATTTGGATAATATATTTACAGCATTCATTTTCTTATTAGGTTGCTTTCTTCTCCTTCTCACAGCACTCTCTTTGCTGGATTTTTGCATGGCTGAATATGAGGAATGTGTTGGTGGAATTCATTCAGCTTAAATAGAAAAAAGGGAGCAAAATCCAATAAAGTATTTGCAAAGAAATGCTGAGAATTTAAGTCAAACCTTTTCTTCCGTCCACTAGTTTTCAAATGTACTTCATGCAACATAAGTGGGCTAATAAGCACTCTTGACCTTTCCTTTAATATATTCTTTTCCTTTTTCCTTATTGAGTGCACAGTGATTATTGGCAAATCAAGTAGAATCAGAACAGAATGTCACCATCCTTCCACATGTACTCCCAAAAGTACAATTATCATGCAAATGTATTAACGCCTTTTTTTTTTTTTACTATATACAAATCAGAGTTAAATTGATAAGAAAAAAAAACATATTTTGCTGCTGATACTGGCAATAATTGCTGTAGATGTTTGCTTCGTGTTTGGACGGGAGGGTGTGGGTGACACAAGGGGAGAAAGAGAGGCAGAGGAGCTGGAGAAGGATAATCACAAGATGTATTTTAATTAGTCTGGTTTGTTGGATATGTTGTATTTTCTGCTGCTGTTTTGCAAAAAAAAAAAAAAAAAAGTCTAAACTGAGGGATTTCCCTTCTCGTTGCCTTTGCCACAAAGGAGCTAAAACCTAGTGTAATGTAACATGTAAGTAACCCAAGAGGTCATCAGAACACATCCAGTCTCTTCCCCAGGGATGTGAGCCACGCAAACTCCATTCAGCATCTGACTGAGAAAAAAATCACAGACAGCGAGGTGTTCAGGCTGCTAAATTAGGATTTTTCACATTAGTAATAAATGTATAGTCTTTGTCGACTGCTCTGTGTAAAATAGTGTCTTCTGTTCCCATGCTGCTGAATGAGGGTGGAAACTAGTTTGTAGGCTATGCTTTCATCCTCACAAGGAGCACCGGTTGGTACATTATGGGTTTATATTCTCTGCAACCCTCCAAAAATCCGAATGCGGAGCCTCTGTAGTGTCATGGCTGTGTCTGTTTGCCAAGTTTGCTCTTTCTGTTGATGTGACATGGCTTTTTAATTAGTGCCATAATTGTTTGTGCTGTGTTTACGCAGGAGTTTGCCAGCAAATAAATGGATGCCGTTCAACACGTTCTTCTTCGCGTCGCACGCGGGAAGAACAGGTCAAGATGGATAAAGAGCTCCTCTGGCTCATTTTTCAACCAACAAGCATCTCTCTCCGGTCTCAACGTCACATGTGCACATTTCAAAACTGTTTGTTGCTGACTTGTTATTGTGTAAATGCTCAAAAGCCAAGCCAAGTTGTTTTCTTGTTACGCAAAAAAAGAGATGAATGTTCAAATAAAACCCTTTTTGTCAGTGACATTGTCAGAAGTCCAGTCTCTCCTGCTTCTCCTCTCACCTGAAACGAGGAGCCTTCCCCTGTGTGTGCCGAGGTGTGTGCGTGGCGTGGTAAAACCTGCCCTGCAGATCGGACCTCTCAAGTCTTCAAAGCAGGAAGAACTCAATGAGGGGGGATTTGTTCAGGCTTATTTGGTAACCTAGGATTTGAATTGGATTCTTGGAGGCATTCATAACACATTTGAAAATGTTACATTGTGTGATTTTGTGTGTAATCCCCATAATAAATTTCAGAAATGGTCACAGCACTCGCACAACTGTGACTATTCATGATTTATCAAATGGTTTTCTTGTCTTGCCTCTTGGGGGTGAGGTGTGTGCTGCCTGCCGGGACTCGTGGGGCCGGAGAAATCGGCCGTTTTTTAACCTCTCTCACCAAACTCTTTTATTCACTTGACCTGGATGTGAGAGAGTGTTGGCTACTGTGATCCAGAGGGATTCTCACAGGCCCCCCCTCCCAACAGAGCTGAGGCATTTCAGCCTCCAGTGGTTAACAGTAACCAGGGAGGTGTACTGTACGGGCACACACTGTCACAAAGACAGCACAACTTTATTAAAGCCACAGTCTGAGATCTTCTTTCTTGATCAGGATTCACTGAGTGCAGGGAGGTAGGAACTGGGTAGGTCACTTGCACCAGACTTTTTTAAAGATCCCCTCCAAGGATCATTTCTTGCATATTAAGACACCACACTGTG